ATTCCCAAGCTATGGTGCGATTTCTATAGGTTGGGCTAAGCAAGCTCAAAATTTGGACAGAAAACCAAGGACCCAGTGGCAAATGAAGGAAGTAATTCAAAACCAAATCATATTCCAGGTCAACATGCAGCTTTCTCAGCATGATACTATGAGGTGCTTTGCCAGGTAACATTCTGTTTCAGCTGAGCTCAAGCAAAAAGATTATGTGAAATAAGGCTAAGGAGGACAAGGGGGAAGAAGGTTAATTGCTGCACTAGAACCTAATACAAGGCTAAAGAACAACCCAAAAAGGTTCTGACCCTTCACATCCTGTAATGTTTTTGATCTGAAAAACACCAGACTACAATATAGCAGCAACATGAGCACCCTTCCTAGCTAAAAGCCTACCAATTTGGATTCTCATAATCTACCAAATACAGTTGCAAAATGCAACATAGCTATAAAAGATTTTAAAAGCCTCATTATTAAAGAAGTCATCTACAACTCAAGGTAAATTTCCCATCTGAAAATTAGAAACATCTAATGAACCTTCAAAACATGCCAGACAGTCTGTCATAGTCAGACAAGTGAGATACTCGTTAGTTTTATCTCATGGAACTAATTCCTTTGGCAGGAGCAGAGGTTTCTAAATAGTTTCATTAGTGGAACAAATAGCCATGGAGCACCAAACATCGTTCTGGGGGGGAAAACGGTATCGCCAGCTGCTTACCTGTTCAGCAGACAGCTGAAGCTTACAACATCTCCCCTTCACTTCCTCCTATTTTCCTAACTCAATAGCATAAAAGAAACTTTACATGGCAAACATTAGACTGTCTTCCTATATTCCCCCAACTTTGAAAATCCCTGCTCTAGAGGAACTCTGTTGCATGCACACGTTGCACACACACGTTGCACCTACACAGCCCAAGAACAAGGCTTCTACCTTTTACCCATCTTGCCTGCTTCAGCTATATTGGAATAACTGCAAAAACCTTCTTTGCTGATTATTTGCATTATATCCAGAAAAATGTACACTTGATCTTAGTCAAGTTTTGCAAACACACACACATAAATTGGATTATTCATCATTTCCTACACCACCACCTTCTCTGGCAAAACCAGCATAATGCTTTAATAATCATAATACAAGTCATTATGCCTAATATTAGATACAGGTCCCAGACCAGCTAGATGAGATCTAAACAGATGACAAAAAGCAGCACAGGAGACAGACAACCACATTTTCATTGTTTGCATACACTTAAACAGCAGCAAATATGCACAAACGTAGGAAATTCCAGACCTCTTCCACCACAGGCAAAGCAAAAACTTACCCTCTAATTAATGTGTGCTCAGAATGCAGCCAAACAGTTGCTGCACAGCACACTCCTACTTTCTCTAAACCTTCAGGGGACACATCAATGCTGGAGGTGTGACAAGAGGGTACAGCCACCAGTACTGAGCTGCAGCACCCAGGCTCCCACCATCCCCACAGGAGTTCCCATCCTGTCACCTCAGACGTCCCCCCAGCAACTTACCTATGGACTCACAGAAAGACATACAGGAGATCAAAGACAGTATTTCAAACAAAGTCAAACCTACCCAAAGCTTCAGAGCAATCACTGAGCTATGAAAGGGAAGATGAGGCTGGGACACGTCTGCCACAGAGCAGGCTCAGTGCCATCCAGGACCAGCCTGGAGACTTCCTTATCATCAGACATGGTCTTTGGATGTTTTAGGCGCTCAGCTTGAAATACTTTGGTATTTTCACAGATGCTCACCACTGAAGAAAGCTTTAAACCAGGTACCACGGAACAGCCATAATCAGCAGATATTCCCGAGAAGTGTTAGCCGAGGGATTTAGTCAGCTCTGAGCAGATACTGACACAAAGCACATGATCAGAGCTCAGTCCCCTTAAGGACTGGAGCCCAAGCTGCTTTGAGGGATTTTCTTCTTTTACATGTATTTATAGGGAAGAATTTCATTAATCCTTTCAGAGCTCTCAGTTAGTACAAAATGAGGGGGAAGAGAACCCCAAATCTTGAAGATAAGAAAAAGTCAGGGAATAATGACATAAGAGAACATATATACTACACATCCCGCTCCGTGTCCAGTGCATCCTTGCCCTAGTAGAGAAGGGCTGTGATTAGGATGGCCGCTCCAGCTAACCTCAAAGGAGAACAGGGCAGCTACTGCCATTCTTCCAATTTTTCTTTCTAGCCTGGAGACCCCCACATCAACCCTTCCAATCTGACAGGCTCTTTTTCACACTGCTACTTTTTTACCCGCCTGTTCTCTGCTCAGTAGAATTTTATTTCTCACCTGTCAAGGAAATCTAGACCCAAGGTCCCATGACAGAAACTGCGGTAGCAGTTAAAAGAGCTGTAAATGTATTATTTTATTAATATGTCTCAAATAGCTACTCAACCTCTATTGCTCTGCTTGACATATGGATGCTTAGACCTGCCATGCTCTTTCCCTTTCAAAACTTATTGCAGGATTCGCATCCGACAGGTCGGGGACCAAATGAAACTTGTAACGGGATTCTCCGGGGAGCGGTTGTGTGTGCCGAGATCGTTTGAGGGGTTGTGTTTGCCGAGATCGACGTGCAGCACAGCTGATACAGCTGTGGTGACCGCTGAAGGCACACAAAAAACCAACAAAGCATTTATTTTTAAAGAGGGGAGGGCGAATGACAATGCAGGAGATTTTTAGTAAGTGCAAGCCAAGTCAGGCTTAATGTGCTGAGTTAGTGCTCTTGTAAATACTACCGTTATATAACATTCCAGAGCTTGAAAATACCTATGAATTGTACTCCAGATGAAATTTAATTTTGTTTATTTGTGTACATGTCTGGACCAGATTAAAAGTATAACGCTTAGGAAATGAAATATTTAGCTGCAAGACACTTCAATGGAATGGCTTATTTGGCCGCAAGTCTATCTGCCATATTAACAATAATTAAAACTATGTTTTCATAGACAGAGGGGGAAAAAAGGTTTTTAGCTATATTTTCAAGCTGAATCATATCAACATGTTTAAAGAGGAGATACGAGCTCCAGTTTTTTCCCCCTACGGGCAAAAATTATTAAAAAAATGGGAAAAATGAGTCATCTGAATTTAATTATCAGGCTCCGAGCTGTGAAGGCTAGCTTTGAAAAATGCAATTCAAAATAAGACGCTTTGTAATTCCACTTATGGGACTGAAAAGTTTACTTCTCAAGAATACTAAATGAGGTCCCTTTGAATTGACTGGTGTGTTTATCTTGCCCCTGTGTATTTCATGGAGCTATAAAAATGCAGGATGAACCTCAAAAAGCAGGAACAGCTTCTTCTACAAGTCCTGGATGAAATTCATGTTTGTGTGACCTGTTTCACTCATTAACACAGCACATCTCGCCTGACCTGCTCCACCAGCTGATTCAAACAAGAGGCCACTGCTGTTTGAGCTCACAGAGTTCATCCAACTCCCAGTGAAAACAGATTTGGAAGAAAAGAATCATTAAAGTTGCAGCACATGGGCACTTGCTGGGGAAGAGGGAAGAAGGAAAGTAAATACATCATTATTCCCTCCGACAAGGCCCCAAACCATATGTCTGTAAAACATACTACCTTTAAAATAGCTCCTAAATCTCATTTTTAGAAGAGCACATCTGCACATACATGTACTACTGAAAGTCAAAGGGCTTATATTCCAAAGACACATTTGCCATTTTTAAAGTTCTACCATGCTGCATTTATGGGTAGTTTACTAATTTTTTTCCAGCAGGTTCACTGACAGACATTGTTTTATTTTTGATACGACAAGACACAGTGCTGCACTGGCAACACCTCCAGGCTGAATAATGTTTCTTAACTAGCTACATTCATCTTCACCTCATACCACAGATGACTGATCCTCGCTGTGGCACATTAATGGCTAAAAAACTAACAGTGCCCTAAAATATTAATGCATGCTAATAAAACCAGGGTTTTTTTCATGAAACAGCAACATCTAATTTTCAGAGGGGTCCTGGGAACAGTAAACAATTGGTACATGGTAAATGGCAAGTTCTCTCACATCAATACATCCTAAACATTCAAATCCTATTCCCCCATAATTGCCAGGCAAGTATAAATTAGTGTTATTTGTGGCTGCAACAGAATCCTCATAAATAATCGTAATTTAACCTTCCTGCTGATAATCCCAGGCAACACCTAATTATTTCAAACACTTAATTCTTCCCTTCCAGAGGGATGTTGGGTTTAAGACTACTCCCTTCCATTTGCTGCTAGTTAGGACTTTTAACTGTTTGTTGAGTGCAATCACAGTGCAGAAGATCAACTAGAGGCAGAGTCGTCCTCTGCTATAAAAGCAACATAAGCAACATGGCAAATTCCTTCTGCAAGCCCTCACTTCAGACTTCATAGCACTGATCATTTGGGCAGCTCTTGGATATCGGAAAAAAATCCGTGTGGCATTTATTATACATAAAAGCAGTATTTCTGAAAGCGTTGCTCAAGCAAACCATGGGATGAGAGGGGTATTGAAATTCTATACACAGCCTCCTGTCTAAAGGACAAGCTGATCTGTAGAAACATTTGCCAAAAGTTCGTTAACAGTAAAGTCAACTTGTCAGCAACATATTTAGCAATAATCAGAAATCAATTTAGCAAAAGCAAGGTTTGAGAGTGACAATGTTTGAGTAGGGTTTCTTGGGTTTTGAAGTGTTGGGGTTTTTTTTCCATTCTTTATTTCTTCTAACCAGCTGCACTATGAAATCTTATCGCAGAGAATATGATTTAAAATAGACAATAGTCACTGCGAAGTTTACCAAGCAAATAAAAAGCATCCCAGGGAGTTTCATTAGAAGGTAGCAGCTACAACCCGTGACTGGGAATAACCGGGAACTACCCTCATTCAGGCACAAACTCTGTTCACTCTAAACAGCCTATAAAGTTTGTATCTGCACACCCAAAACGTCAGTGGGTACTACATGACTGTACAGAGCACAATGAAGTATGGCCAGTAGTAACCTACCAGAGTGAAGATCCCTCTGTTCCAGCAACTTCTAAAACATCATATCCATCTTCCAGCTGAAAATCCATGAAAACCAGAGCAATAGTGTCTCCAGGTTCAGCGAGAATAGTCCACGTGCAGTCTGCGTTATTGCCATACTCCAAAGGAAAATGAGGGCTTGAGATAATTCCGCTTTGTCCCCGCAAAGTCCCTCCGCAAGCATCATCAGCTGGAAACAGAAATCAAGTTATCAGATCTTGCTGAAATGCACAAAGCTGTACATCAAAAAAGAATAAGCCCAAATTCAAAGTTTTAAAAGCCCCAGTGCTTTTCTCAGGGTGTGTTTACACACTATTAAGAGACAAAGATGTTGAGGGATGCAAGATCCTATTTTGCATTAGGTCAGCCAGTGTCTCCTGGCAAGTGCCAGCTTATTCCCCACCATCCACTTCCTAGTGATTTGTTTAGTCTAATTTTAAACACCCCAAGTGACGACAGCTTCTACCACTTCCCTGGGGAGGCGATTCTCAGCCTACCACGTCTCACTGTCAAGACACTACTTCCTCACATGTTGCTGCCCCAGTTTTCTGTTCCATCCCTTATTCCTGATTAGGATCCTCTGAGGTGTTTTCTGCATCTTTCCTCCATCCATGCAGCCAGCAAAGCAGGAGGAAAACCACCAGAAATTCAGTGACCGAGAAGGGTTTCACAGACACGTGAAAACTCCCCTATCACAACAGGGGAAGAGGTTGGTTTCCAACTCATAGATCTCAGCACCTTCATCAGCGACAGAAACACCCCCAAGGGTTGGAACGACAGGACAGAGTACAAGCACTGTATTTAACAGAAATCTAATAGAAAAGGAGTGGAGTATCACACACACCTGCCTCACACATCTTTGTTTACTCTGATTTCTGAAGGAAATGGGTGTGGTTACTGAAATCATAGTGGTAAAAACTTAACCACTCATTCAGAAATCTAGCAGTGACATTTCCTGGTTACATACTGGATCTCCTGTTTGCTACAGGTTCTTTCATTTTTACAACCTGAATTTTATCAGCAGGAGCTATTAGAGCAATTAAAGGAGGACAATCTAAAGAAAACATGGGCAGGAAGATAAAGGAAACCAAGAATTCATTTGACTAGCATCAGGGCAGCTCCCTGCGCTTGTACATGCAGCATCAGCTCAACATTTATTTGGAATGCTAAGAAAAGCCTGTTAACTTTACAACGTGTATTACAGAGCAGCATTTCAGATGCTTTAGTCAAGGAGCTTGGGGTTTTACATTATAAACATTTCTTTTCATGACAAACTATTTTTAAAAAAAACCCTTCCCAGCTGAAGTTTAACACAGGTGAGAACATTTGTTAAGTACAATGGGTCATCAGCACCTAAGGAAAGGGCAGAACAGTTCTGCAAGGCTGCTCAGGAGGATCCTTCAGCTTTTAGACCTTTTCAGGAATTAGTGTCTTGTGCTATCAGCAGATTTCATCAGCAGGGCTGAAGCTTGCAGCCACTAACTCATGAAACTTGAGAGACAAAGGAAGACAAACATATACGCCAACTTCTCTTTCTCACAGCCATCTGCTATCCCAGCACAGCCAGCCACCCGAACAAGCAGAAGGCACAGGCAGACACACGCTTCCTGGTGACTGACAGCAAATGATTGAGATAGGAACACCCCAGGCTATAACTCACTGTTTGTATTGCATTAACACACTACGCATGTTGCACTGGCACCTCTAAGCCCCAGGGGAGATCATGGATGGCCCTTTGCAACTGCTTCTGTGCTCAGACTGGGATGGCACATCGCTGATTATTGCAGAACTCACAGAAAGCAGGAAAGGCAGGAAAAAAATATGACAAAAACCCAGACACGTAGGCAGACATGCAACTACTTCTGGGTCACTCCAGCAGCCAAAACTAGGACTGAAAAAGGCCACTGAAATCTCAGCTCGATGCTCTATTCCCTGGTATTCTATTACAACAGAGTTACCTATTTGCAGCAATCCTATTGTCAGTGAATTCAAGTTATGCATGGACACTGAAGCGCAGTTAGAATCATCGATAAATTTAGGCTGAAAGATCTCTCATGTAGTCCAAACACCAGAAATCCTTCCAACTTCAATGCATCATACACAAGATTCACAGCGGGACCTCCAAAGAAGGTTCATGCAAAAAGTAAAAGGGCCACTTCCAAATCTCTCCCTCTGACAGACAGAATGAAAATGCCTTTTAGAGGATGAATGGATTCTAGCCAAATGTTTACTGGTATGTTCAAATTTAATTTCTCATTAATAAGTGCCCATGCAGATGCTAGAAAGGAATAGATGCAAAAAAGACTCTTTGATAGTGAACTCTCAGATCACATGCCTGGCAGCAAGGCAGGCAGAGAAGGAGCAAGGTCATCAGCTGCTTCAGCAACGCACAGGGATCTGAAGGGGCAACTTACTCTTAAGATAGCTGCCCCTCTGGAGGTAAACGTACCTCCAACATAGCACATTAAACATCATTGTTGCCTGGCTGCTATTGGCCCTAGGCAACCATTCCAGGTACCTTTGCAAATAAGGGCCTGCACCACTACCATGAGACATCTTCAAGCAATCCAACCTCTGTATGCGAACGCCGCTTTCAAGGGCATAGGTGCTCTTGGCCAAACACTTGCTTCTCACTATGATCACGCATTCGTGCGGCTCAGGTCTACACAGAGCCCTTAAACACACACACCCAAGAGCAAATGCAACAAGGATTTGGAAGAAGCAATTCCTATCACCAAGTTCGCAGCCACATTTACTACTGGGGTCTGGAAAGCCTGAGACTGGATCTGGTATGCTGAAGTTGTTGTTCTACTAGAAGGAATAAAGGAGGGGATGGAGAAATATGCTAAAGAATTTTGACTCAATGCTATATTAGAATTCTTAAACAAGGGGACTTTTTTGGGGGGGACTAAGCTAACTTACAGTAGCTGAAGATCTAGCCAAAGGTATGGTGGTTTTGGCTTTTTATTTTTTATCAAAAGGGGAGTTTTTAATTTAAATTCCTTGAAAATTTTTCATTGCAAAAGGTATTTAAACGGAAAAAGTATTCCCTTCCCATCCACCTCTAAATACACACTCCTAAGTTTGTAGATGTTGTTACTGTTTAAACATATTCTACAATCTTCTAAAATCTTCTTGAACAGCCCTTCAATTATTTTGGGCAGTGTGCAGTCTAAGCAGCTGTTTGAGTTATACTAAGACAGACCACTTAACGAGATTATGCATATTCGATACGCTTAAAATGTAGCTTTGCAAATGTTCTCAACTTTTCAGCTGGCTTACTGAATTTTTACTCAACCGCCCACCAGAATCATAAACCTATCAGTTCTACTTAAATTCAGCAAACAATCTGGGCAAGGCTTCTCTCCACATGCATGAAAGCCATTTACAAAACAGATTCAGATGTTTCCGGATATTCTTTTAGTGCTTCAAATGCACCATTCTGCTTTATTTGAAATTAACTGACACAGGTGAGGGTTGTTCCTTCCATGGCTACAACAGAACAGAAGACAGCATTCCAAGTCTGCTGGGGTTTTGCCTCCAGCATACCAACTGTCAAGATAAAAATACAGCTAGACTTGTAGGACTCGGCTTAAGGCCCCATTTAGATTAAGTACTAGGCCTCATTTCATTCTGCGTATACAGAACAATTGTGCAGAAAGCGTGTAAAAACACACAAGATGCAATAAGGAAACCATTCCAGATATTTGACACATTATAGAGATGGGATAAATGTCAGCTTAGTCCAGATTTTACAGTCTGATCCAGACTCGCTGAGGACTTTCAGTCCTCGAGGCAAATTTCCGAGTTACACATGGTCTACCAGGCACAGCCAAGCTTCTCTTCTGGGCAGCCACAGCTGCCGCCCAGTTCCGTGCTCTCCTACTTTGCACATCAGCATGGAGATGTCATTCGCTGCTGCTTTGGTGCTCCCTGAATGAGATCACCACAGTTTTAATCCTTCCTGCCACGCAAGCAAGAAACATAACTCACCAGAGCAGAGTCTGTGCAGACCGAATTTATAGTCTCTTTTAGCTCAGAGTCCAAGAATCAATTTTAATATAACTGTGCTTTCAAAACCACAGGCGAGCTGCAGCACTATCTGCTTTCACTGGCTCTGCAAAGACATTTCACCAAGCCGTTCTTTCTGCTCCTGGAATTCTTTCCTACATTCCTTTCTCATTGAGATTACACTCTTTATAAAATTGGTGCTCCCTGAATGAGATCACCACAGTTTTAATCCTTCCTGCCACGCAAGCAAGAAACATAACTCACCAGAGCAGAGTCTGTGCAGACCGAATTTATAGTCTCTTTTAGCTCAGAGTCCAAGAATCAATTTTAATATAACTGTGCTTTCAAAACCACAGGCGAGCTGCAGCACTATCTGCTTTCACTGGCTCTGCAAAGACATTTCACCAAGCCGTTCTTTCTGCTCCTGGAATTCTTTCCTACATTCCTTTCTCATTGAGATTACACTTGTCCTTTATAAAACAAAAAAAACAAACCTGTACTTTGAAACTGAGAGCTGGGTAAAGGGGGTGCAGACAACTCCTATGAAGAAAAAGCAGCTGAGCCACAGCACTCCTTCAAAGCGTTGCTGTCCTGGCACATGCTCTCAAATACCTTTGTTTCTTACTCTTTTCTACCATGCATTTCTTTGCATCTTCAGTTATTTCAATGCATGAAGACTGGAATAGAGACAAAGCTACCAATATGTACAAAAGGATGTTACAAAGCAGAAGACAAGCACAAAGAGAAGAGCATAAAGAAACCAGAAGAGGATATTGATTAGCATAGTAGAAACACTGTTTTCAACACGTCTCATACCTCTGCCATTATACTGCGGAGGAGGAGAAGGAAAGAGCAGAGTCCCCAAACCAAACACTGTCCTTTACAGCGACACTAGACAAGTCTATTCCCAAGATAGCAGCTCCTGAAATTTTAACACCTGCTCAGCTGGAGGGCACCTTTCATCTCAATTTGTCAGAATCTGACCCAGCAGCATGACCCATCTCCAACTTACATTAGAAAATAAAAGAATACGTACAAATACGTTTCACAAACTTTCAGGTGACAATTACCAGTAAGCCAATATTAATAGAACTAATTATAAGCTACATAGGCCACAAAGATCTTTTCTTTCTCAAGGAAATACATAATCTTCTTCAGGCAACTGTCTTGAAAACATTATTTTCCCTGCAGAAGGAAGCATAAATCTGTTTGTCAGGATGCAAATCTTTTTGCCCCTTGCAATGACTAGAGTCTGTATCACCAGTTTATCAGCCAAGCACGAATGTTTGACTGCTGAAAACCTACTTATTGGTAGAAGGAGTGCAGCTGGTTTTCAAATTCAGGAAGTCAATTTGCAGACTGTCTTAGCCACTTTCTACCTTCCTGGAACAAGTCATAAACATTACATGAGAAGATTTCTGGTTCCTGCCTCCAAATAATACCTTGGAAGTTTTACTTGAGGTAAAGTCTTGAAGGATCAGGACCAAGTCTATTAAAAAGGAGAGGCTGCCTCCAGGAACCTGCAGGCACGTTGCTACAGAAGCGCAGCTGAAGAAGCACATATTTTGCTGCCATCAGAGCAATTCACGCAGCACTGATGCAAGCACCGTAGAATGGAATACTCCTCCATTCTGAAGTATATCAGATGCCATCATCATCACTGCTGGATTCAAGACTGAAACGGTGGTGTTAAAATTAAAAGTGAGTTTGGCAGTTCAAGACAAAAACGCAAAAATGATTTTTTACTCCATCTGCAGTGGGATCACAAAAATTACAATGATGCCAACCCTTGACTTCAACACCTGTTGGGGTCAGAAGTTAATCCCTCCCTTATTGGGGTCTACTACACAAGTATCTGAATAATAGCAGGGCAAGGAGAAAATACCACCTTCCTCCAAAGGAAGGCTGCTATCAGAGAAATGCTGTCAGACTGGAGGAAATACTGGTCCATTGATGCAGATAATTTCCTTCTCTTCTAAAAAGGGTATTGCTTTGCATACTCTCAAAGTTGAATTTCAGTGAATGTTTTTCCTGCACGCACTTCCAGTGAAATTAGAAAAAAAAATAAAAAAGATTACAATGAGAGTCCTAATTCGAAGGAAAAGCAAAGAATCATAATTGATCATACTAAAATGGCAATGACAGCTGTCCCTCTCCAGTGTCAGTTTGGCTGTATGAACCACTCCCTCAGTGCTATAATGCCCTTGGCCCCAAAACAGCAGGTAAGCATACAAGAAATACACTAAGTAGCACATATTACTGCTGTGTAACTCATTCAAGCAAGCATTAAAAACACACCAAGCAAACAATATTTGCTCGCTTTAAATTCAAGATTTATGCTACAGCTTAGAACTGCTGATTGATTGCACAAGCAGAGTCAATAAAAAGAATCAATATAAAATGCTCTGCTGAAGTACACAAGGAATTGAGGGGAAAAGACTTCAAAGCAGCAGCAATTGTTTTGGTGTAACACCACAGACACTTGTATATTTACAGACTCTCTAGTCCCTTGTGGCCCCAGAGAATTAGCAAGAAGCTCTCTATACTGATAAGGGAATCTAAGTTTCCCTACCCCAAAAGGGCTTGCAGGAAAGCTGGCCAGCCTCTTCAAACAAAGGCCAGATTTTACCTCCCATATAGCATCCCCTGTCTGAGGCTGCCAGCCCCGCTGCCAGCAACCCACAGCCCTCTGCACAGACCCACAGTTCTTTACAGGGAGAGCACCAGAATTGCTGTGGAACATGCCACGAGGGAAGCGAGCTTGACATTGCAGAAAGCAGAAAATCCAGTCTCATTGTTTAGTGTTTGATCTAGAAAACCTGCATGGTCTTGGGTAGGTGCCTTATCTTATGGATAATACCTCTGCTTCGCCCCCACACACACTTTAGGCAAAGAAATTGAAGTTAAAGTAGCTGTGCAGCATTTTGAATACTTTGAGCACTTCATAGCCTTCCTATTAATTACCAAAATCCTGGCAGCTTTAAGGAATCCAGTAAAAAGGAATCTCGATATTAACTACATCATGCTTAGTTTTCAAGTCTTAAATCAAGCTTACAGTCTGTGAAGTTCTTCCCAACCCCAAATAGCTCATTAAATCCTGTTTCATTGTGGCTTGTTCCAGATGAAGAGAGAGCACTTTACCTCTGCAGAAGGGTAGAGGAAAATCCCAGGAGGCACTGTTTTCCGAATTGGCATGGCACGTGAGCAACGCATGTCCTTCCAAAAAGAAGCCTGGATTACAGCTGTATCTCACTTTGTCCCCGATGCTGAACGTTGTCCCTTGCTGAATCCCATTCTGCAGCCTTCCTGGATTTCCACATGTATGACTTGGTAGAACTGCCAAAGAAAGTTGCTTCTGGTTAGGGACAGTGCATTGTAACAGAGGTGACAAGTGAAGAATCCAGAGGGAAGGCTCGTCTCCAAGTAAACGCATCACTTAACAGAAAGAGCAAATAACCACAAAACTTACGCTACTGGATTGCACCAGAATTCGTTAGGCCAGTTAACATTTGAGTACTATTTCTACTGAGTATATATAAGGAAGCAAAAATCACTCCCCAAGCTACTGAGTCAGAAACAAGATCCACTCTTTCCTGACCAATTTTACCAGTTTCTAAACCAAAGCATCCCTCTTTCCTATGCCCTCCTGAAGTTATTTAACATGATTGCAGTTGATTAGAATCCAGAGATTACATTCCTGTTCGAAATAACATTTTTCAGCAGACCTTCACCAGGCATCTCAAAGGCCCCTGCAATGTAACCAGAGTTGCACTATACCTTAGAACCACACAGAAGGCAGCAAAACCTGTGATTAGCAACTATCGTCTAGACAAAAAGAACAATGTTTCAGCCCACCGGGATTTATACTTCATTGCACTGTGTGTTTAATCCAGATTTCACACATACGCATCAAACCAGATGCAGTTGGCCCCAGCTCCACTGAGGGCAAAATATAGTCCAACAAAAGTTTGCATCAGAAAGAATATGGGATACTTGAATGTAAGATGGAGAAGTTGCAGCTAAAATGCTAGTAAATCCTTAACCAACGCCTCTGTACAGCAGTTTCAGAGAATTTAAAGAAAACTTCAGGGGTTCCCATAAGCCACTCCAGAAAGATCGACTCAAATCATGGTTTTAGAGCCCAATATAAAACCCAAGGAAGACAACCAAGACTAAGAACGACAATCAAATTTGAATCACGCCCTTGTGCAGCACCTTGTATTATAGTTCTTTTTCATTAAGGCTGAAACATCAGAGGAAGGAAAACGTGGTCATTCAAAGCTGAGTAATGGTTTATCACTGGAAACAATTTTGTCAGGGGCACGAACAAAACCAGATGAATTTCTACAAGCAAAGGGAGGTTTAGTCTGCAGCTCTGCCAAGGAAAAGAGGAAGATTAAAAGGAAAATTGTATGCTAGCACACACAGCATGCATCAGAATAAAATACAGGCAAAACTGTGCATAAGCATGTGAAATGAAACATAAATCCCTAACACTGCCTAATGCAAAGACACCACCCTTCTGTCCTTCTGCGGGACAGTGCTTTAGGATCGGGATTTGACAATTCCCTGCTCTGCCTCCAGTACAGGCCTTCCCCCACAAGCAGCCCCGGCTACCTCCTCTGAGCAGAGTTCAGGTACCCTAAGAGGGCTCTCTACAGCAGATAGGCAGACAGTACCCCTCACAGCAAGGGAAATGAAAGACTAATCTGTAATGAATATAGGATTAGGCTTCCTGCATCCAGACAGACCACCTTGTTCTCTAGTTAACCCGCTTTCAGATTAAATGCAACCTTACCACCTTAAACCTGATTAATTTTAATGGCACATACATCTTGACTCCTGCATTGCTTCAGTTTCTTGGTTTTTCTGCTGTGACTGCAAGCTCTCGCCACACATCTGTGTGCAGAGGAGCAGCCTTTCCCAGAGACACAGAAAAGCGCAGCCAGCACCCCGGGGACACAGCGCTGGGCTCCAGGCTCCCCCCACAGCCTTTCATTGCACAGCAACGGGGGGACAGGTACGAGCTCTAGCAGACAAGATTTCTTCCCTTTGCTCCCAAAATACTGTTTACATCCTTCTACAAAGCACCTGGAGCTGGGAAGTTCAGCAGCAGCTTTCACATAGAAATATTAATGACCATGCAGGTCTTGTAAGTGGGGGGATGCTATGAAATACGTCAGATGGGTTGAAAAGCAGTGTAGAACTAATGTTTCATTTTCTGTAATGATACTCAAAACCCCAATTTAATTAAATTACCAATGTCACTTTTCGTAAAAAAAAATGAACCCATTCCTGCTTTTATGCTTCCTTCCTTTAAAATTAATGACTAGAACTTTGCTATAAATAAAAATCTATCATTTTTAAAAGTCAATCTCTAACACTAGCTACTCTCTACTTAATGAACTGTGAAGAATCAGACTACCCTGACCTGCATCATATCTTAAAATCATACTTGAAAAACAGGATCTCATTTAAAAATTCTGCTTCATTTGGCTGCCTTAACTAATATCTTGTTACAGGACAGACAACGCACACATGCTTTTGGGGGAAGCAACATTAACTCCTTCATTGCTTTGGATTCAGTGGGGTTGCTGCACATGGACAGAAGGAACTGCTTCCAAAGAGGCTGGTGCTACATCCAGAGCAGTGTTCAGCATAAGCAGCAGTAGAGTTGCCCGTGTGAGGATCTGCTGTCAGTCATGCCCTGGAGGCACTTGTGCAAAAAATGAATTTGGGTGTTGTGGTTTAAGCCAGCAGGCAGCTAAACACCACACAGCCGTTCGCTCACTGCCCCCCTCCCAGTGGGATGGGGGAGAGAATCGGGGAGGGGGCGTGGGGAAGAGTAAAATTTGTGGGTTGAGATAAAGACAGTTTCATAGGACAGACAGAAAAGGAAGGGATAACAACACCACCACCACCCCAAGCAAGTGATGCACAATGCAATTGCTCCCCACGCACCAACCAATACCCAGCCAGTCCCCAAGCAGTGATCACCGCCCCCCAGCCAACTCCCCCCGGTTTACATACTGAGCATGACGTCGTATGGTATGGAATATCCCTTTGGCAGGTTTGGGTCAGCTGTCCTGGCTGTGCCCCCCCCCAGCTTCTCGCTGGCAGGGCGTGAGAAGCTGGAAAGTCCTTGACTAGTGTAAGCACTGCTCAGCAACAACTGAAACACTGGTGTGTTATCAACATTGTTCTCATCCTAAATCCAAAAACACAGCACTGTACCAGCTGCTAGGAAGAAAATTAACTCCCCCCCAGCCGAAACCAGGACATTGGTCAGCCCCTGAACACGGGCTGATGAAGTACACCTTCCCCTACAGAGGGAGGGAGAAGAGCCAAAGGACACATCTGTGCTCCCTGAGAAAGCATAGCTTCACAAAACCCCTACAGCAGATTGCAAGGTGGGAGTCCAAACAGCTGGGGTGCAGAGTCTGGAGATCTCCTCGTAAACCCCCCAACCGGTTCACTCAGCACGGGAAGTCTGTGCCTTTGTTCCCCTGCTGAGTGTGCCTTCCGAGCTGGTGCAGCAACCGTTTTCACAGCAATGGATTTGTGATTCTACTCCAACACTCCCGAGAAGAGATAACACTATTGCTCATACTTGGCTGCCTCTAACAGCCAGACTCTGATTGCTTGAGAGATTAATAGAACTGTATTATTTACATCAGATGTCGCACAGAATAATATTATTAAAGCTTTGTCTTACCCATTTACCAATTCCACTGTAGATTAGTAGCATGGATTTTTTTCTTCCCCATAAAAGCTTTGTTCCCAGCAATCAACATAATATTTTCCAGCGATTGTATGGAAATGAATGCAGCCACAGACCAGATTTGTACAGATGAATAGAAGGTCCTGTTAGTCATTTTGTAGCTAAGTCTGCTTCTTTCCATGAAGAATTTAGAGCAGTTTATTTTATTTGTCTTGATTTGAATAGCTGCCAAACCGTTATCTTATTTTATGACAAAGGAAAGGAAATAGGATTATTGCAGTTGCACCTGGAAAGCTCCTCAACATACCTCAAACATCACTGTCCCGAGGGCTATGCAGATATACTGCCCTAGAGACCCCACTCCCTGAGATAACACAGTAGAGGAACCATAATCATGGTGTTAATTGCCACCACAGACACAAATAGAACCAGACCATTAATTGATCTCTGGAGAGGAGGTTAGGTGACAACTACAACTACAACTGTCTTCAGAGGTAACAGGAGATAGGATGATCTGAGAGTAAGGCAGAAATATCACCTTTTCAGCAAGGAACTATGAAGTGTCAGGACATGGAAAACATCAGCCAAGAATAAACCCACCAAAACCTAGAACTCTCCCACTCCCTGCAGTTTTCAACCTATCCTTCAAATGCACTTATTCTTCAAAAAGAAACCTGTAGGGCACAAGACCAACCTCTGTCCAACTTAACTTCCATCTGCTCCAAACTCTCTCTCCTTTTTTTCTTTTCTCTTGCCTTTCAGTTTGGGCTCCTTTTGTCCCATGCTTTGGAACCCGCACACGCTCCACTGATTCATCTCTTACCCTTCATCTTACCCTGGGAGCATCATTCAAGATCTTGTGTGCTACGTAGCTTTTTAGAGCAATGAAGATGCATTTCCCTCAAGGAGCTACTCTTTGTAAACTTTATATCCGAATCTGTTAGTACAAAACCAGATGCGTCTCTCAGATTTCATAGTGTGTTGCTTGAAAATGAACTGAACAAATTGGAAATAGAAACAACCTATTTGAGAGGTTTCCACCATCCATTCCTGTGAGCTGCTAAAGAGCAGCTAAAGAGCTGCCAGAATTGCTGGTATGAAGCTTCTGATGCAGATCATTCACTGACTAATTTTTACCCCCATTTCTTTCTGCCCTTTTCAACAGGCTCACCAGGTGTTCCCAAACTTGTCTGATCCCCTTGCCCACGATGACTACACTGGAAGTTTTCAAAATCAGCAGCTTTCAAAACCTAGTACTTGTCAAGCTATGTCTCCTCGTTCCAGTTCATTCAAAATTAATTAGTAGTTTTTAAGTCATTAGATGTGACTCAATGCATCCTTGGACAGCATCCCACCATCAAAACGCATTCAGCCTAATTACATCAGCCTTTCCTAAAACCCCATAGCTCTTTTTGTCAGGAGAAAAGGGGGGAGTGGGGGGGAAGGCAGAGAAATGTTTCTCTTCTTGCTCCTCACATTGATACATTGGGGTTACCTTACCAATTCAGGTACTTTCAAACAAAACAAACTCAAATCCATCCCTAGCTTGCTCACCATTCCAAAGAGAAATCTTCCATTTCCTATTCAAATTAATCTTCAGCTCCACTTTCTCTGT